AAATATTGGTTGTATTTATGGTCAAAATAAAAATTATTAAGCTTAAATATCAAATTTTGTATAATTTAAGAGACACTAAAAAAAAAACCCATGTCTCAATTTTTAATGAATATTTATGAATAATTAATTAATCGCATAATAATTATTTGCTCGTAGCACTATTTTTCAAAGTTAATTGAATATTTAATTTAAATTATGTAATTTTGTAATTTACGTGTTGAGAAATGTAAATAGAAGCTTGTGATTGTTAAGTTTGAAATACAAGTAAATATTTGATTCAATTATGCATTGGTTAAAATTATTTAATAATTAATTGAGAATAAAATAAAATTATATTAAGATTATTTTGTTAATTCAATGTGAAATTTGGATAAATGAACAAAAAATTATATTTTATAATTTGAAATAAAATTATATTTTATAATATATAAGTGATTATCTTTAAAAAATTACAAGATAATTATATTTGTTTAAAACTCTGTATAATTAAATTTTATAATTTATATAACTATCTTAATCAAAATTAAAATTTTTATATTAAATTATGATTTTAAATTATATGTAGTTTAGTAACTATATATTATATTTTGTTTGTGTTTTATTATAATAGTCGAATTAGTATCGAATTTATTAAAAAAAACATGTCCGATAACAAGGCCAACTATAATATATAATACAATGTGTGTATTATATACTTGTATTTATGTTTGTATATACATGCTTAAATAAAAATTATAAAACTTTAATAAAAAATAATAATAATTTTGAAAAATATAAAAAAGCAAAAAATGAAAGTGAAAGGTGGCCTTCGGCTATTTTTGACTCCTTGTCTCTAAGCGATCCTCTTTTTCTTTCTTACTACATACAAAAAAAAAACTCAGCATATGACGTGGGGCCCAGTGGATCAATCAAAAGCCTTACTTTACACCGCCACATGTCACCAATTTTAGATTCAATCACGGATAATTATTTTATTGATTTTTTAAATTAATTAAAACTATTATTTAAATTTGAAAATATTAAAAAAAAAAAAAAAAAAAAAGAGATTAAGAAATTCGATACGCGTCCTACTTTTGTTGGTACTTTGAGGGGACACTCATGATTGGTCCAACAAGTCCATATTGATATTATAATATATATATAGATTATATATTAAAGTACATATTTTTTAATAAACAAAATACGTATATGTATAATATAATATGAGATTTAATTTAATTATTAATCAGAATAATGCATATTATAAATAATTTCAACACATTATATAACTATATATCCGTAAATTAAATAAATGCCGACAATTAAAAGAAAAATCAAGTTTGTATTGTGAATAGTCAAATATGACACGTGGTCTTTACACGTGTGAGTACATGTTTGACTGCGTACGCAAATTGGTTTGGGAGAAGCGTTCCGCCACCGAGGCCAAAAAGTCAAGAGCATCTACCGAACCCCGAGTTCGATACTTGTCTACAGTCTAAACCAATTCAATTAATATAGATGAAATATTATTTTCATAAACATATAATTATTTTGTTTATTATAATATAAATATAAATTATTATGTATGGAGAATCGAAGCCAATTTATCCACCGACAAATAAATCAATCAACACTAATCTTATTTGACATTTGGATTTTTTAGTCTCGACAACAAAATTGATTTGATAAAATCAATTTTCTATTATAAAACAGTGTTGATATATGTGTATCCATACATACATATATATATATATATTATTTGTGGTATTATTCGTTGTAACATTTTAAATGTAGTATGTTTTATGAACATAATTATACCATTGTGTTTGTATTTTTATTCCATTGATAAGCATAAAAATAAAAAATTACACTAATTATATATTATTTAAAATAAAAAATAAAAAATAAATTTATTTTTAACCGTAATTTGTAAATATATAAAATACAATATCATTATTTTAACAATAATAAATTTACTTTTATTTTTTAAAATAAATTTGAACCTTATCATATCATTGTTTTGAGGAATTAAATGATTAGAGATAATAAAAATATTACACGAACTATAATAATCAATTCTATAAAAAAAAATATTTTATCGTTCTATAAAATTTAATTGTATAAAATATTTATAAATATCTGTTAAGTGTTATAATTTATTTATTTTATGTCATTCATTTGCTTAATGTATAATTAATTAAATTATAATATAAATAAAAATATAAATACTTTATATTATTTTACAAGTATATTTTTATAATATACTTTTTATTTTTTATAGAGATATATAAATTTAATAATTATATTATGGTTTTAATAGTTTAAAGTTATTATGTTATAAATAAACTTTACTGTAAAAACATACTATTATTTATGAGATTATAAAGAAAAAATTATCATTGTAAATAGAAATGACTATTGACGAGTATATAAGAAAAAAAAATATTTATATTTTATTAAAAACATAAATAACATTAAAAAAATATATTATTATTATATCTTTTATATTAAATTAAATTATAAATAAAATTAAGTTTTAAGGTATAAATTTTTTTTAAAACTTTAATAATAAATGAGAGAAAAAAAAAAAATTAATAATTAAAGATAGTGAATAAAAAAAATAAACATCTTGTTCTATTTTTTTTGTATTAAAATGAATCATAATTTTATAATAAGAATATAATTACAAAATATAATTAATAATTTAAAATGACAGTGCTACCTATCTTCTTACAGTATTTAGAATTTTCTTAGAAACGTATATTACAAAAAATTACAAAAATAAAAACTCAGAAATTTAATTATTGATCCATTGCACGATCCAGGAACATGGGCAATTATGTTATTCAAAAAAAAGAAAAAGAAAAAGAAAAAGAAAGAAAGAAAAAAAGAAAGAAAACACGAGCAATTATGATAATAACCTCACCACCCTGACATTATCATGTGGATAAAAAGTCAATAATACCCTTCCTGGTTTTTCATGAGATCATGGGTGTGTGGAATCAGGGAGAGAAGGCGAAGGAATGTCAGAAGATGTGGTAGATAATTTCGAATACATATATATATTTAGAAATTATTTCTAATACATACATAATAATTAATCTTAATTATCGTATTTTTTTAATCTGTCTGTGTTGGAAATCTCTCCCCCAAGATCCACTTTCAGTGGTGCATTAACTGCTCAAGATTAAAACTCTTTTTACTTTTCTTTTTCTTTTCTCGTCTTTAGTTTTGGGTTTCTAAATTGCCTCTTATTGTTTATCTTTGGTGTAGCCTCCTAGTGATCTGGGTTTGTGTGTTTTTTTCACAATTTCTGCAACATTTATGGCGGGTATTTGAAGAAGGAAGCCATTGTTGCTGAAATGAAGCTTCGGGTTTACTGCTAGCTTCGAAGATATTCAACCTGCCATGAGAACCAGTCCGAAGAAACTTGTGTTAGCGCTTGTTTGCTCTCTTGTCAGGGTAATATTTGGCGCCACAGACCCTGATGATCTTGAGATTCTCAACCAGTTCAGACAAGGGTTAGAGAACCCGGAGCTTTTACAATGGCCTGAAAATGGCGACGACCCGTGCGGTTCAAAGTGGAAACATGTATTTTGTTCTGGTTCAAGGGTTACCCAAATTCAAGTTCAGAACTTGGGGTTGAAGGGTCCTTTACCCCAAAACCTTAACAAGCTCTCCATGCTCGCAAACCTCGGTCTGCAGAGAAACAGTTTTTCCGGCCAGCTGCCGTCCTTCAGTGGTTTATCGAATTTGCAGTTCGCTTACTTGGATTACAACAGCTTCGATTCGATTCCGGCTGATTTCTTCGACGGGCTTACGAGTCTTCAAGTTCTGGCATTGGACGATAACAATTTCAATGCAAGTACTGGGTGGTCGTTCCCTAAATCTTTGCAAGATTCTGCTCAACTGACCAATCTGTCTTGTATGAGTTGCAATTTGGTAGGTCCATTGCCCGATTTTCTCGGAAACTTGTCATCTTTAACCAACCTCCGACTGTCGAGAAACAGCTTATCCGGCGAAATTCCGGCGAGTTTTACTGGCATGGGCTTGCAGACTCTGTGGTTGAATGACCAGAGTGGCGGCGGCTTGAGTGGTTCTATTGATGTGGTGACAACAATGGAGTCACTTGAAGTTTTATGGCTACACGGCAACAAGTTCACCGGAAAAATCCCAGATAGCATTGGTAATTTGACGCTCTTGAAGGATCTTAATCTCAATGGTAATCAACTTGTTGGGTTAATTCCTGATAGTTTAGCAAATATGCCGTTAGATAATCTGAATTTGAACAATAATCAGTTTATGGGTCCGATCCCTAAGTTTAAAGCTGCTAATAAGACTTATTCCACGAATAAATTTTGTCAATCTAAAGAGGGTATTCCTTGTGATCCTCAAGTAATGGCACTTATTGCGTTCCTTGATGGGCTGAATTACCCTTCAAGGCTTGTTTCTTCATGGTCTGGTAATGACCCATGTGGAAGTTCATGGCTGGGTTTAGGATGTAACTCTAATGGGAATATTGTTACTCTGAATGTACCTAATTATAATCTTAATGGTACCTTGAGTCCTTCAGTTTCAGAATTGGATTCCCTCACTCAGATTAAGCTTCAGTCTAACCATTTAACTGGTTCGATTCCGAAAAGTTGGGCTACCTTGAAATCTTTGAAAACACTGGATCTTAGTGGGAACAACATTGCTCCTCCTCTACCAGATTTTAGTAGCACTGTAAATCTAATCATACTTGGTAATCCTCTATTGAATGGTAACCATTCTGCGGTAGCCCCTTCTGTGGAAAACAATACATCTCCACGGAGTTCAGATTCTCCAACCATCAGCCCATTTAGTCCAGCTAAAGGTTCCAGTTCTTCGAGTTCTCGTAATAATTCCGTGGAATCAAGTAAACCCAAAGGTTCTAAGAGGTCTGTCTTTGTGGCAATTATTGCTCCTGTTGTGAGTTTTGCTGTTGTTGCTTTTATTGCTGTTCCTCTGTCTGTATATTGCTGTATGAAGAGAAAAGAAAGTACAATGGCTCCAAGCTCTCTAGTAATTCACCCAAGAGACCCGTCTGATTCTGATAACACGGTTAAGATTGTGGTTGCGAATAACACCAATGGAAGCACCTCCACAGTGCCAGCGAGTGGTTCTGCGAGCTTACATAGTAGTGGTATTGGTGATTCGCATATCATTGAAGCTGGAAATCTGGTTATATCAGTTCAAGTTCTTCGAAATGTCACGAAGAACTTTGCCCGGGAGAATGAGCTTGGCCGTGGTGGTTTTGGTGTAGTTTATAAGGGAGAATTAGATGATGGGACACAAATAGCAGTGAAAAGAATGGAGGCTGGTGTTCTTAGCAGCAAGGCCTTGGATGAATTCCAGGCAGAAATCGGAGTTCTTTCTAAAGTTCGTCACCGTCATTTGGTGTCTCTCCTGGGTTATTCCATTGAAGGTAATGAGAGGATTCTAGTTTATGAATACATGCCTCAGGGAGCTCTCAGTCGGCATCTATTCCATTGGAAAAGCTTCAAATTGGAGCCTCTTTCTTGGAAGAGGAGGCTCAATATTGCCCTGGATGTTGCCAGAGGGATGGAGTATCTCCATACTCTGGCTCACCAGACCTTCATACACAGAGATCTCAAATCTTCAAATATCTTACTCGGTGATGATTTCAGAGCGAAAGTCTCAGATTTTGGGTTGGTGAAACTTGCGCCTGATGGAGAGAAATCTGTTGTGACAAGGCTTGCTGGGACTTTTGGATACTTGGCTCCAGAATATGCTGGTAAGCATTCTGTATTAGTCCTATCAGATTAGTTTCGTTAAAATTTTCAGAAAATATTATGAATTTTCAATTCATAAGCAGTAAATATATGTCTTTTGCAATCTATTTTATGATGGGCTTTACACCAGGAGCTAAATGCTTCAAGGATTGAATATTTCCTTTTCTTCCAGGCTTTTATTGCACGATAAGCAATATATATATTAATTGCACTCAGATGCAATGGGATTGAATTTGCTATATGATAACATTTATTTACCCAAAATTTCAGAATTTCTAGTTGCATTTTCATTTGTGGTTAGTATATGTACGTGTATATACATCAACAATTTATTATATGTTGAATTT